TTATTTTATGATTTTTTTTTAACATTTAGTTTTCTATATCGGTGTTAAGTATTGACATTCTTACTGGATTAATGTAGTTCATCTCTCTTATTAAACCATTTCAGATCAGGAAGACCAATATCCGAATTCTGAACAATAAGAAGATTGCGATTAAAAGTTGTTTCTTGCATCCTATCAGAGTTGCCTAGTAGAAGTTGACCATATAGAATTTTAGTTACATTTTTATTTTTATTATTTTAATTTTTTAAAAGGAACGTTTCCGTAATTCTATTGAGCATTCAGATTTACTATGCAATGAATTTAAACCCTAAATTTTCAATTGCTTCCGTTATTATTTTATTAATTCAATATTTCATTTTAATTAAGTTTTGGATCTTTATAATTTTATATTTTATTTTTTTGAAAAATAATCAAATATGATTTAAAACTAAATAAATTAATTAAAGAAGTACTTTAGTTATAAAACTATAACAAAATTAAGTAGATAGCTAATATGTATTGTTAATTAATTTTATCTTTTATTCAAAAGATATTTTAAAAAGTTAAAAAATATCACGTAGGAATTTTCAGTTTTACTTTTAAATATATATATATATATATATACAGACTTAGCTTTCAATGAATTAATTTTATAAGAAGATTTAGATTTTTTTTTTTTTTTTGTAAAGGAATCTAAAAGTACATTTTGGCTTTAAAATTTTAATATATAATTTCCTACACATTTATTTCTAAAATAACAACACATGAATTTCGTGTATTATACGTAAAGTTTGCTCAGTGCGTCGCATGTTATTCAAATTGTTTGAACATTCTGAACCTGTACCAACAACGTGATGTTTCGTACTCTATTTAAAAAATTATTAAGTTTAAATTTTATTAAAAATATAAAAATTATTATTTTATGAATATAACTTATGATTATTAATATATAATTTTTTACTTAATAAAATTAAAATTTTAATTTATTAATACGTAAAATATCATAGTGATTAAATTTTTTTAAATTTAATCAATAATTATCGATTTATAATTTATAATTTAATAAAATTTTAAAAATTAATATGTTAATAAAGTTATAATCATCAAATTAGTTAGTAAACTCCCAACAATCTAATTAACTTTTTTAATTTAGAAAAAAACCCACACACACACACACACACACACATATACATATATATATATATATATATATATATATATGTGTGTGTGGGAGCACAGCATACAGGTCTGAAACTATGTTGCAGGTATCCAACAGATGAACTAACGTGTTTGGGTAGGTAAAAACGTGAATATTATAATTATGAACAGAGACAAACAATCAATATTATCATTACTCAAAATTTTCTAACTCCTGATTTGCTCAACTTTTAAATGTCAATATGGGTATATCTATATCTATATCTATATCTGTATACATCTATCTAATTTAACCAGCTATTGATGTTTATAAATATTGATGTTTAATTTATACTTTTTAAGATAATTAATTATTCAATTAATAATATTTAACACAACCACTACCCTTAGGAGTTGAGCTTCTGCCATTAAAAAAAGGTAGAAAACTGCTCACAAAACATTTTTGAGAGTATATATATGTATATATATTAAAAGAACAAGCAATAAATCACTGTTAATTTATTCCCAGACAAAATACAATATAACATTACAAGTTTTATATATATATATATATATATAGTGAAGGAAGAATGAGTCAGCCCATGGCATACTTCTGGGTCCAGCTCCGAGCAGTTGATTCGTACTTTGCTTTATCAGTCTTGTACATATGAGCAATCTCAGGAACAAGAGGATCATCTGGGTTTGGATCGGTAAGCAATGAACATATTGACAGCAAAACCTGTACTCTCAGCAACATTTTAAAACTTCTGTGGTCATTATAATTATCTAAAATTCAGCCCAATTTAAATTAATCAACT